TTTGATTGCTTCCATTGTCCTCATTTGTAAGTCGCTTTGGATAAAAGCATCTGCTAAATGACTAAATGTAAATGTAATGTTTTTCTCTACAGTGGACATGTATGAAATGATGTCATTTGTTTCATAACAGGAAGTCATATTTTGATTTGAAACTTAATTTTCCTGAGATATTGATTTATGACAATTTAAAAATTAATCAGATTTAAATGATAATTACAAAATATTATCATATTTCCATAAGGATGTAAAATGTTATCACTAAATTAATGTCAGCCATCTTTAGAGACCAAGGAGAGGGAGTGGTCATGGTGAAACTTCGGTCACTGTGATTTTGCCAAGCAAGACATGCTCCTGGATCAACATCTTTTGTTGATCCTGGATCAACATCATTGTCCAAAAATATAGACCAAACACTATCCCTACCCATAATATATCCCTAAAATCAGAGGGAAATTATGGTTGAATAACATGGGGGTAGAAGCACCTAACTCTGTTTGTAAGGCTAAAATTGACATTTCCTGTAAACTTATCCCTAAATTCTGATTGGTTAATTGGAATGTTGTTCCAGGATCAACATGGATGTTGATCCAGGAACATGTTGCACTTGGTGAAATCACATTCACCTTATCTTTTAGGGTTAATGGAAATGGCTGTAAAATTTCTGAATAATGCCCCTGTTGCTTTTGGAGTGACCGACAGACTGGAGTTCCGTATTTTCCTGTTTCCATTATTCTCTCAATTCCCATTCGCCGACCGACCAGAGTTCCGTCTTTTCCTGTTTCGATTATTCTCTCAATTCCCATTCGCTCGGAAAGGCATTTATTTTAGATAAAAACATTCTAAAAGTGGAAAATATAGTGCCTAAGGGGGTAGCCTATATATACATAGGCCTACTAATATTTTAGAACTACGTGAAATTGGATGTGACGCATATCGATCAGCTGTTACCATCAAAAATTAATGTCAGCCATCTTTAGAGACCAAGGAGAGGGAGTGGTCATGGTGAAACTTCGGTCACTGTGATTTTGCCAAGCAAGACATGCTCCTGGATCAACATCTTTTGTTGATCCTGGATCAACATCATTGTCCAAAAATATAGACCAAACACTATCCCTACCCATAATATATCCCTAAAATCAGAGGGAAATTATGGTTGAATAACATGGGGGTAGAAGCACCTAACTCTGTTTGTAAGGCTAAAATTGACATTTCCTGTAAACTTATCCCTAAATTCTGATTGGTTAATTGGAATGTTGTTCCAGGATCAACATGGATGTTGATCCAGGAACATGTTGCACTTGGTGATATCACATTCACTGTGAAACTTCCATCTCTGAAAAGCCCCGAATTTGCTCTTTACAGGACATCCAGATTTAAAACTATGACATGTAAGGTCTCAGAGAAATTCACTAAAATATAATGTCCTCTACAGAGACAAAAACTCCATAGCTGGGTCTCAGGAGGATATTAAACGATTTAAATAACTCAATTTATACTTGATGAAACTGAAACCGCTAGTAGGTGGCGGCAAGTCACTGAATCATTAATTTAATCGATTCGTTCAAACAGATGATTAATTTAGAAATGAGGCAAGTAACTGTCTTTATGAATGGGTAATTGAATCATTGACTCACTAGATTCGTTCAAAAACGCAGATTTATTCATAAATGAAACAGTGCTGTGCTTGCTTGGAGATGCGCAGCGGCTCAGCTGTGACTTTGTTTAGTACTGTTTCTGTTGTATAAATGCAATATCACATTTGTAAACTCAGTTTATAATCATTAAAAAGTTGTCACTCATCTTAGTTCATCGCGATCTCACAAACTTTCATTATAATTAATGAATCTCTCTACACTGCACACTGAATCTATTAGCCTATTTACATCGTCTCTACACTTTGTTTGTTATAATGAAAGGATCTGAGCTTGAATGACTAAGCACTGAACAAAAACTTTAGTCTGCTTTCACGATCTGCGCTGTGAGGAGCAGGCACGCACTGATAGAGAAGCATTTCCATTGGCTGCAGTCTGCAGGTATTATGGCCAATCACAAAAGCCGACATTGCGCAGCAAACCATTGACACAAACATCACGCTACGTTTATGTGCAGAACTGGGATCGCTTTCGTAGTCTTTTGAATGGGTAAAATATAGAAATAATTTCCAAATAAACCTAACCAGTTGGAAATGAAACACCGTCCCCCCCTCGAAATTCACTCCCCGGTTTTGTTGGCAATCGGCGAACAAGTGCTCGTCAATCTTTAGCTCCGCCCACGGCATGCCTCCAGGAGCTCGGCAGTTTTCAGAGAGAATCGTAAAGCTGTATCTTTCTTTTTTAAATACGATAAAACTAAAGATTTTTAGAGATATGAAGGATGCAGTACTACTTCATAGGTACTCAAGATTAACATGAGATTGGGTGAAACTGTGTGTTATGCCCCCTTTAAAATATCAGATAAAATATTTCAAGATAAAGATAACATTATCTTTATAATATAAAATGACATGCTGTAATTATATTTATATAAAAATGTACCTGAGATCAGTCTTTGTATCTCCACTCTTAAACTTTACTGGATGATCCATAGACCAATCACTCCTCATAGACACACAGCTGGGCTCTGCTTCTGATCTCTTCTGCTGAACTGAACTATAACAGAGATAGATTAAATACAATCCTTTGAATTAACATATTTAACAAAGTACATTCTCATATATTATTTAAACAATCACTTTGAAGAGTACTTCATGATCACTTCATTTACACTATTTTATTACAAAAGATTTGAAATAGAACTGTGTGCTTTCAAAAATGCATCTCTGTGTAACATTATATATGTTAAAATATCAGATTATGCTAAAAATATATAATTTAGCAATGTACAAGAATAATTTCTCATATATTGTAGAAAATGCAGTACTATAGACACTATTTTGATAACATAAAATTACATGCTATAATAATATTTATATAAAAGTGTACCTGAAATATAGAAATAATTTCCAAATAAACCTAACCAGTTGGAAATGAAACACCGTCCCCCCCTCGAAATTCACTCCCCGGTTTTGTTGGCAATCGGCGAACAAGTGCTCGTCAATCTTTAGCTCCGCCCACGGCATGCCTCCAGGAGCTCGGCAGTTTTCAGAGAGAATCGTAAAGCTGTATCTTTCTTTTTTAAATACGATAAAACTAAAGATTTTTAGAGATATGAAGGATGCAGTACTACTTCATAGGTACTCAAGATTAACATGAGATTCGGACGTATAACAGAGTATTTCCGTGACAAATATACACTTCAGGGTTTCTTACAAGTTTCTGAAAGTTTCTTCTTCATGACGTCATGACGGGTGGAACTTCTTGTAAGGGCATTTCTCCCAGAAGTGCGCACCCGCATCGACCAGAGCGAGATCAAGAGCACGCCCATCAACGCGCTTCATTCGGCAGTGCTGCACAAGACTCGCTCGGGAAGAATGTCTCTACAGAAGTGTGTTTTTGGTTGTAAGCAGTGGTAAGGTAATTTTAGATGACCTTTCAGATGCATTTAATTATAAAAACCCTTTATAATCTTAAATAACATTTAACTTATTTCATATTTTCTCTAAAGACAGGCACCCTGCAATTCCTGCCAAATTAAAGATATGTTGTGCGTGAATTTGTACGTTATAATGTAAGCATCATTAATGACCCTTTGTGTTTAATTACACAAAAAAAAATAAAGATTGATTCGTGAAATGAAAGAATGATTTCATAAAAAATGAAAATGATTAGTAATTGTCTCTAATTGGCCTGATTAGCTAAGCCCTCAAAACGTCTCGGTTACGTATTGAAATCCTCGTTCCCTGAGGGAGGGAACATAGACGTCATGTCGGTGACCGACGAATTGGGAATCTCGCCAGAGAGACCAATCTACTTCGAGTGTAAACTAAACGAGCCAATGTACATTGGCATGTGATTATTGCATTAAGCTGCCGCTGATCACAGCGTGAGTATAAGTAGGCAGCCGGTGCAGCGCATAATCAGGTTTTCGCTGAGGAGCCGAGCCGGTGTCCCGGCCGCTCAGCGGTGGTACAGCAGCCGTAGCGACGGGACGTGACGTCTCCGTTCCCTCCCTCAGGGAACGAGGGTTACAATACGTAACCGAGACGTTCCCTTTCAGTCGGTGAAATTCAACGAATTGGGAATCCCTACCAAAGCGCCATGGATGCTGCCCCTTCCAGTGTCCTGTGCGAGCCGCCCGGGCCCCTTTTTGGTGTAGGCCGGGGCTCGCAACAAGAAGGCCAGTCACTGTTGTCGTAGCACTACCCACTCAGTGAGATCAGATAACACTGGGAAAACGTACCAGTTCCACTTGGAACAGGAACGTTGCGGAAGCCCCATTCTTCCCGAAGGAGGTTTTGGAAACAGTTACAAATATGAACAACCGTTTAGGTGCATATAGAAGATTAGAAGGGCTCTGAGGCTATACCGTGGACTTTACACATATGGGATCCACTTAGGTTTCTACATATGGAACCAGCCCTCTACCGGTTCTCAAGGATTCAGCGAGTGAGGGCCTGGCGCCGGACGTTCCGCCACGTCTGGCTGCCGAGGGGATGGAGGAGCTCGACAGGGTCTACAGTACAGACACTCTGGAGCAGTTTTAGCAAGCCGACACTAAACCGGGGCCTCTCAGTGCCACTACCCATTTGAGGTGAGAACACAGGAGGATACCGGCTCCACACGAAGGCTATAGAATCTAGCAAATGCGTTGGGGGTACCCCCTGCCCGCAGCTCTACAAATATCTGCCAGCGAGGTGCCACGAGCCAGCGCCCAGGAGGATGCAACACTTCTAGTAGAGTGAGCTCGCAACCTGAACGGGCAGGGCAAGAGCTGGTCTGAGGTCCTGAAGCTTTGTGTCCTGTCTACGTAGCATCTCAATGCTCGGACGAGACAAAGCAAAGATAGGGCTGGGTCTGCCTCCTCCGGGGGCAGCGTTTGCAGGCTCACCACCTGATCCCTGAAGCGAGTAGTGGGAACCTTGGGCACATAGCCGGGCCGGGGCCTCGGGATTACCTGGGAGTCAGCCGGCCCAAACTCTAGGCACGAATCTTTGACCGAAAATGCGTGCAGGTTCCCTACCCTCTTGATGGAGGCCAATGCCAGCAGGAGCAAAGTCTTCATCGAAAGAAATTTCAGCTCGAAGGGGTGACACTCACCTGTTGACCCCGCCCACCATCCATGGACCCTTTAAATGTCCATTTTTAATCATTTTTAGGGGTAAAACGGGGTAGTCGCTCCCAAAACCCTACAATTTGACCGTTCTCCCTTTGAGAGAATGGATGGGGCTCTTACCCCAGGGGCCTGTATGTCCCACCAAAGTACTATTTGTACATCTCTCTACCGGGTACATGGGGGTCACTTGGGCCAGGGGCCACGTCCCACGAACCCACTATTTGTCCATTTCACCGCTATTGTGCCGGAACGTCCCCTTGACCCCCGCTGACCGCTTGCCCCTGCCCCCCAGGTCCCATCACCCAAGCCCTACAATTTGACCGTTCTCCCTTTGAGAGAATGGATGGGGCTCTTACCCCAGGGGCCTGTATGTCCCACCAAAGTACTATTTGTACATCTCTCTACCGGGTACATGGGGGTCACTTGGGCCAGGGGCCACGTCCCACGAACCCACTATTTGTCCATTTCACCGCTATTGTGCCGGAACATCTCCTTGACCCCTGCTGACCGCTTGTCCCTGCCCCCACAGGTCCCACGAACCCACTATTTGTTCACTTCGCCGCTATTGTGCCGGAACAACTCCTTGACCCCCGCTGACCGCTTGACCCCTCCCCCCACGTCCCACCAACCCACTATTTTTCCATTTACCCACTATATTCACGGAAAGCATCTCCATGTGGTCCTCAGGCAGGGGACAGGCGCCCTCGACCAGCGGACGCTCACCGATGCCCTACCTGGCTGTTTAAATGACGTCCGACGCAAAGCCGCTCCGATCGACCGGTGCTCTAAGCGGAGCACTTTGGGGGGCCCCACGGACCCCACACGGTGCAAAATTTGGGGCCCCTGGGACCTTTCTAAATAAATCCCACTTGCCACTTATTTGAATTGGTTTGGCCTAGCGGTTTCGTGGATACGGCTGGGATGGGGCGATCGACTAGAGGGGA